CTGTGGCGTGGCCGGCAGTTTGCAATGAAGACCTTCTCCTCCGACGCTGGGTGGCAGTGAGTCGAAGCGGTTTGAAATCTGTTGCTTCTGCTCTGTTTCAGGGACTCTTCAGTTTATGTCACTAACCGTGGATTCAAATACGCCTCAACAACAATAGCTTTCAAGACAGGGATGAGTATTGGGCGGGTATCAGGTGGTAGAGCAGGTTGTCCTCCAATCGTAAGGTTGGCGGTTTGATCCCCTCCACGGTCAAAGTGTCCTCGGGCAAGACACTGAACCCGAAGCTCCTCCCAGTGGCAGGCAGGAGCTTGCATGGCAGCTCTGTAGCCAGACTGGTGTATGAATGTGTGTGAATGGGTGAATGATGTCAGAACGACTCACAGGGAGGAGGATCAACCCCCAGTTGAAACCCAAACTCAGGTGTTAATGGCTCCTTCAGGATATCAGTATGTGGAACTCCCAGACCTGATGAAGCCTCTTGGATCAGAGGTGGAACATCTTCAAGGAACTCAAGCAGGTCCAGCTGCTACCATGAATCTACCAGAAGAACCCTGACCTGGATGACTGAGGATCTTCACAGACATAAGTGCAGACCGTCTACCAGTATCTGATGTTTAGTTATTTGAACACATGGAGGGTTTTGGTTCTGGTTAATTCGCTGACACCTTTGGTTTATTATGGTTACAGCAGGACTGGTTTATTACCAGAATTCTCTTGGCAGCGATCTCTTCTTGAGCAGCCACTTTGTCAAAAATACACAGAAGAGCAACTGGTGCACGGGTTGCAGAGTGCAGTCGAACACACACATGCTGCTTCAATAAACAAATCTGCCTTTTCCCATCATGCCATGAGTAATTGATTTCATTTGATTTCATGCTGCTCTCAGCACACACACAACAGTGAAGTCGGTTACCTTGCTGGGAAGTTGTTGGAGGTAAGCAGCCTGTCACCTGCAGCTCTTCATCTAGCAGCCTTCGTCTTCCACTCCCCTCTGCAGTGTCTACGGCTGGCCTGCTGTCAGTTTTACATTCAGATTGCAGGGTCAGGTGCTGCATTTTTTCTTTGACCTGCTGTCAAAAAAGGCAGAACACAACCATGATCTATGACTTGTTTTGTAGACTTTATTTTTTTTGCTTCCTGTGGCGTTTCCACAATAGAAAATATCCAAACTGTGGATGTTTGCATTATCTTTGATATGGTGTGAAGAGAGTGAATTGTAAGTAAACTGGAAACGAGAGCACCCAGAGGAAATCATGCAGAAACACAGAGGATGTACAAACTCCTGTCAGACCCAGTGGGGTCTGAAAATATTACCTTCTAGCTGTGAGCAATTGTAGGATTGCTAAGGAACACGTTTCAAACAAGTGTAAGCTTTAACAAGCCTGCTTGCACATTTTTAGAGGGAGAAAAGATGCAAACGTTCTCACCGTGAAGCATCACGTCCTGGTGTGTGTCAGCACTATCAGCTCGTTTTGCATGATGTCCTATCGAGAAGCAGCGACTTTTAATACAAGGCTTGGAGTTGGTTTCCTCTCCTCTGCCTCTGACCTGCTGGTGGTTCAGTCTGTCACCAAACCTGCTCACCTTGATTTCCTGTTACAGTGGATATCCCAGTGTTTCTGAGGAGACCAGATATTTGAGGATGAATTTGTAGTACAGTGGTGACTGGATAATCAACCCTTAACAATCCTAAACCTGCTATCCAACAGGTTTGTAGGAAAAACCAACAGAACCCATAAAAACAGCCTTAACATAGCGACAGCCTTGGATTGTGACTCCGACATGACATTTAATGTCACCAATCAGGATGACGGCGTATTATCTGACTGAACAATCCCACAGATTGGCTACGTTCACACTGCAGGACTTGATGCTCAATGAGGATTTCTTTGTGACTTCCTTCACGTTTCCACTTCAATGCGACTTGTATGTGATCTGCTGTGTGAACTTCATACGAGCCAAAAGTGTCCCGCATGCGCAGAAGAGGACACGACGACGTCACACGCAGCGAGCGTGCTCAGTGTTTATGGAAGTAAACATGGATGGTAACGGTGGAGCGTATCTGCCACTCCCCCGCCGCCACCGATGGAGGAAACAGAAGTGTGAGCGCTAACTAAACTAGCATCAGCAGCCAAGTACTGCCTGTGTGTTCTGGACACTTCCACCCCGTCAGAGCGCTGCCCCGGGGTGGAAGTGTCCGGAACGTGCACAAGCTCACCGGTCAGTTAGGCTGAAGTCCAGCGATGCGTAGTGTTCTAACAACACACTAGTTATTATAACAACTATGAACAATAATGAACAACTAATGATCCTTCCAGCATCAAGCCCTCCTCGTATCTGGACCTCCGTCTGGACAATCCAACAGCCTTGATATCCGACATAGAAGAAGGTTTTACATTTAGTGTCGGATCATCGAGTCACGGCTGTCGATGTGTTTAAAGTGAGTCAGTTTGCATCTATAATATTTCCATTTGATGAAATCATACAGACGTTTAAAATGTGAGTTCTTCTGTTTAAATATTTCACTCAGTGTCAGCATCATATATCCTCAGTGACGATTTGGAACATGTAGATGCTGAGTGAGGAAGATGGTTTTTCCAACCTTCAGGCCGCGTCACCATAAATTCAAGCCAAAATTCTGCTTTAGGATGTAAAAGTCATGATTAGTGTGTGTGTTTGTGTGTGTGTGTGTGTGTGTGTGTGTGTGTGTAGCGTGAACGTGTAGATGTTAGATTGTGTGTTCCCTGTTTCTGTTCACAGTACTAAGAACAGTCTGACACTTGTTGTTATGGATACCGCTGTACTGTCTGTTCATGCCACTTTCAAGTTCTGTCAACCCAAATCAGGCCTCGTCTCTGTTTCTGTGGCTCACAGCAGTGAACGTAGTGCTGAAGTATCACAGCGTCCTCACGCTCTGCTCTGTACAGGAAGAGCTTCATCATGAAGTATGTGGTTGTTAATGCTTGTTTTGTTTTAAATTGAGAATGAGATTTATTTTAGACTAAATCAACGTAATGGTACTCAACAACATCATGAGTATTTGTTAGCAGATTCAATGAGGTCAGAAACACACGTGGAGGCAGCTGCTGTATCTTTGATCCTTTTTTTTTTTACTTCATAACGTATCTGCTCAGCCCAAATTTAGAATAATTAGATTCACGGTTGACACTGACTGATCTAACGTGCACTGATCCTGACAGTCCTTCCTGGTTAAAACAAAACGAACGACGACTGTGGAGGTTGTGCCGTTTCAGTCTCTCCAGTTTGTTGGTGGTAGTCATAAGTCTGGCTGTTAGTTAGAACAGGAGCTACTGGCTGGATGAACCTTTCCCAGTGGGCAGCAGCAACACTTAAAGTTTTGTAGACTACAAAATGTTAACATGTCATCCACGTTACCAGAGCATTCTAAAGGTCTACATTCATTATGATATGGATCTGAGGACATCCATCCATCATCTCTACACCTTCATCCTCACCAGGGTCATGGGGGGCGGAGCCTATCCCATCTGACTCAGGGTGAAGGCAGGTTCACCTGGACAGGTAACCAGTCTATCACAGGGCTACACTTAGAGACAGACAACCAAGCACACTCACATTCACACCTACGGACAATTTACAATCACCAATTAACCTCAGCATGTTTCTGGACTGTGGGAGGAAGCCGGAGAACCCGGAGAGAACCCACGCTGCACGGGGAGAACATGGAGACTCCACGCAGGAAGATCCCGGGTGTCCTCACCGGGACGCCAACCGGCGACCTTCTAGCTGTGAGGCAACGGTGCTAACCACTGCTCCACCTTGCAGCTCACATAGTTATTCAGATCACATGTTCCTATGATCAGATAAGTCTCTGGTTGGATCCTGCCTGTGTCGGGACAGAGCGCAGGACTCTGAAGCTCAGAGAAAAACTCTGTGCTTTGCATAGAAGTCCAATAGATCGGGTTTGGGTGTCAGTACAAGATGCCTCTTGGATGCCTCCTCTTGGTGATCCATCTCAGAGAAAACCTTTGGGCACACTCAGCCATGCCAGAGGTATAATATATCCTGTTGAGCATGGGGATGCCTGAGAATCCCTCAGGATTAGCTGGAGGTGGTCAGGGAAAGGCCATCGAAGCTGCTCTAGTTACTCTGCTGCAGCGGCTAATCGAAACGAGATAAATGATAGAAAACTGTCACGATTAGAGGAAGTCACAAATGAAATAATCATTATAATATTCTGGTCATTAGTCAGGCACAGCACTAGTTTGGACCCTGCATTGTGGCTTCAGCATTTCCAAAGTGCTGATTCCATCACCGTACAATAAAGTCACGCTACTCATTACTTTTAATATGCATCATCTGCAGTCGAAGGAACCACAGATAAATACCAGTAGAGCTAAGTTAGTGAATGAGAACGTCACGGAAAAACTAAACTCGAAGCACGAAGTAAGAATCTTTTTTGTTTGGTTGTGAGTTTGCACCATCAAATTAAAATGATAGTAGATAAGAAAAAAAATCATATATAACAGTCAGAATTCTAAACGTGTTTTAAATCTGGTTCTATGTGCAGCTGAGGGGCAGTTAATATGTGAAGCTACATCTCTGTGTAATTAGCATGCGCCCTGCACCGTACATTCAATAACTACATGATTGAAGTTGAGCTGGAAACAATGAAGTGAAGGTCCCCACTGCTCCACAAGTCCCTCGTCAGAAGTGACCGACACGCTGTAGACTTAAAGGACAACAAAGCCCTCGAGTCATATAGGATGTTCCTCTTTGTTTCCAGTCACAAGTCAACAGTTTTGAATTGGACCTGCTGTGGGATGGATGACTACGCTAAAAAGAGTGTGGGTGGGGAAGCGGGTGGAGTGAGAGGAGCGTCTAAGTGCCAGAGCGGTGTAATGGGCTGCTGTTGTCATCTGAGACAGCACATGTGTCTCTGTGGCGTGAAGTGTATTCCTGAGCCCTGTTGTTCATAATCATAATAATAACAGCGAATCATTTGCATTGTTTCTCTGCAGCTCTCACTGTCTCAGCTGGCAGCTACTTCACGCTACCCGACCATCAGCCACTCCAGCTCGGCGTTGCCGTGGCAACAGTCATTTCCTTCTCTGCTCCATCCTTCCCCGTTGGCATCGGCCCACCAGCTGTCACATGTCGTAAGATTTCCACCCCCGTTTGCAAACACACACTCGCACGCAGAAACGCACACACACACACACACACACACACACACACACACACACGGAGCCTCGTACTTTGCGTATGTGCTGGAAAATACACAAGCATTAAGGAAAAAGACGAAACAGATGCATTCACAAGATTCACATTCAAAAAAAACCAAAACACACAACGTGGTACGTAGGACTTTATACATCCCCACAGGTACACAGACAGTTACTCACAAGAGTTCAAAGGCACACTCACCTTTACAGCACTGTGCTCATAGCCACAGAGAAACACACACACACACACACACACACACACACACACACACACACACACAAAGCAGCCTCAGAACTGAACTCCAGCCTCTGCACACTCTTTGTCTTTGGAGCTGCTGGAGGTGCCGAAGCTGCTTCTTTTCATCTTTATAATCAAAAGGAGCATTATTCTTTCACTTGGCTTTTCAAATCTTTCCACACAGACTACTTCACTTTTCTCAAGGTATCGCGTATCCCGCGTACCCTCGTGCTCTGCCCTCTTCAAAAAAAACACGTCTGACTCGCCTGTTCTGGAGCGCGTTCGTTATTGATTTTAGTAACGGTAATTAGTAGTGGCATTACTAACGCTAAAACAAGAATTAAAAACACAATTAATTCAGTTTTACCTCAGCTCTTGTCTGATTTAATCCACATAGCATCCCAGCGAGCTAGAACTGAGGTGATAATAGAAATTACATCTGAGAAAATATCTGACTGGCTCTAATTGCTAACAAGCTTTATGCAGCTGAACAAAGTCCTATCATCGCAGCCAGGGGACACACTGGAGCAGAAATGAGGAAGTCAGCTATACTGTGCTGATTTTAATAACGCTGCTGAATAATTTCCTGAAATAATACGGGGCTAACCTGTTCCCCGCAGTCGTAGGTGTTTGCTGCTGAGAATTGGCTGGCAGAGTCGTTTTGCCTTTGAAAGCTGTCTTGTCTTTGCTAAATTAGACCATGTTCACCCACAAAGACGCATATGTTTGGGGAATCGGCGCGCTGCACGCTGGAAACACTGGTTAAAATCCCACAGAACGGCGAGGAAATCATAATGCTGTAATCCTGGGATTAACCCGGAATCTCTTTCTGCTTATCAGAATCAGTTTGCACATTTCTATATGATATGTCTCTTTGATGCGTGAAAAAAACAAAACACAGAACATATTGCTGCTGTTTGCAAAGTGTCGAGATTTCTTCGGCTGCTTGTTTCAGTTCAGCTCAGTCACACGTTCATATCGGTGACG